TTAATTCCAAACCAAAAATAAATAGGTTCGGATTACCATAAATATGTTGATTATTTATGGTCATGTTACATGTATTAATTGCATTTTAATATCATTCCTTATTATAATTATTGAATTGTATATATATTTTAAAAGTTAATAACTTTTTTATTTTTTATCAGTTTTACATATGTAATATATTAAATTAATCTCCTTTTGATGAACTTCGATTTAACATCCATATTGTATATATAAAAAAAATAATTTATATTTATCTTTATAACAATAATAAAATTATTTTTTATATTAAATAGAAAAATAAAATTATTTATCAACTAAAATATTTATATTTCAAGTAGTTATATGATATAAGTTATAAAAACTAATATAATATAACACATGTAAGTCATAAGTAACACATATCATTCTAAAATATATAGTAATATATTTTTTTTGTAAAAAAGTAAACTAAATTTAATATAGTTTTCTCATTAATTTTGAAAATTTAAGAATAATTTTTTAACAAGCACCCGTGTAATACACGAGTGTTGTACTAGTAAGGTTATTATTGACAAAAAAAAATATTCTTAATTAATGTACAACTTCTCAAAACAACATATATTAAAAATAGGAGGTAGTACTGTATTTATTTAATTGAATCGTTAACATATTGTACCAAAAAAAAAAAAAATTAATCGTTAACACACAGTAATGTTGTCTTATACACCAAACATTATATAATATATTTTTTTATGGAATAAGTAATTTACACGTGATATTAATTTATTTATTATTCTTTTCAAATATTATATATATATATATTTATGAGGTGCAAGTATTAACTAATTAATTAAATCTATTCAAATCACATAATTTATAGAACACATGCTATAGTCTCATTGCGGAACTATTTTGTCGGAATTTATAACCGTTAAATTATCATGTAATTGTCGTGGATAGTTGATCTAACAGTTACAAACCCTGACGGAATAGTTCCGTAACGGGACCGTAACATCTTCCTACATTTGAATATGTGACATAATAACACTGTTCTAAAAATCGGCCTAGGCGGCCGCCTAGGCGGCGCCTAGGCGCTAGGCGGTGCCCGGGCGCCTCCGATTTGCACAAATCGGCATAAAAAATCGGTGAGGCGGCTAGGCGGCGCCTAGGCGGGCCTAGGCGGCCCTAGGCGCTCCTAGGCGCCCTTGGCGGGCGCGGCGGCCAGGCGGTTAGGCGGCGCCTAGGCGGACCTAGGCGCTCCTAGGCGGGCTAGGCGGCAATTTTTCAGTTTTTTTTTAATTTTTTTAAATTTTTTAAATATTAATTACATTATTTTATTCTCATGTTTTCTTTAAAATATATTAATTTTATTATTTGGACTTAGGTGTATCGATCTATTATAAGTTGAGATAGTTTCATTTTGTAGGTAGTCAAACTAAATAAAAAATAAGGTATTTTATATTGATTTCTAGGCCCCGACTAGGCACCGCCTAGGCCCCGCCTAGGCGCTCTAAGCGCTAGGCGCTGGTCGAGCGCCTAGCGGGCGCCTAGCGACTTTTAGAACACTGCATAATAATGTTCACAAGTCACAACACAATATATTACCATCTATGTGTACAAGAGGTGTTAACGCTACTTGTTTATTAGTATTATTAATGATTTGAGTTTAAGCCAAACTTGAGTCTTCACGAGGCGGAAAGGATAAAATAAAAGAAAATTTCTTGTTTTCAAATCTTAAGAAGCCGAATTTTGCTCGATTGACAATCGAACTTAAATGAGTATGGCACTTTTGTCTCTCATCTGCTCACTCATTTTCCCCACTCTCACCTCCACTCTTCAAATCAGACGTGACCGGTGCCGGGCCAAGGCCCGGCTCGGCCCGTCGGGCCACGGGCCCTCCAACACCTGGACCGCGACCGGCACGACGGTTCACGTGCAAGTACGGCCCTTAAGAAAAATAAAGAATTTGGCCCAGTCCAGTCCGGTCCGGCCCGGAGAGACAAAAATAAAAAAATAGAACCGAGACCGAACCGCGACCCTACGATTCCAGTTCAACGAACCGACCCGTAGGAGGCTGGTTCCGGGCCAGTTCGGGACGGTTCGCGGGTCGGGCCGCGGGCGTGGCCATGTCTACTTCAAATGCATATCCGTTATCCTTTTTAAATGTAAAAAAAAAAAAAAATGAAATTAAATGGGCACACTTTTTTAGGTTATGAAAGAGAGGCACGGATTTTTCTGTTCACGGATTGAATCATGTACTTTTAAATATTTATTATAGATAACATTTTTTTTTTTACAAAAAAATATGTAAAAAATGATGCCAAATTATTTACTTTTGTACAGTCCAGTCCAGCTGGATGTGCTTCATAATAAAAGGCTATAAAAACAAACTTGAAAAATAAAGTTAGGCCCCATCATTCACTATCTATTTCTTTGCCAGCCCATACTATCGAAAAAAAATATACTACTGAATAATATTAAATATATTAGTACTACTTAGCAAATTAAATATATTGATAATATTAAAGAGGGAATGTTTAATTAAATTAAATAATTTTTTTAGTAAAAAATGATACTGTAAACAAACAAGACTTTAAGAATTGGTGTTCACAGCATAGTGTAAAATTTGGATTGCAGTGCACACTCCCAAAAAAGTATATATAAATTAATGAGAAATAAGACTATGTAGCAATTAAATACAACACCAACGATATTATGAATCAAACAAATTAAAAAAAAAAAAACTTTTAAGATGTCATTGTATATGAATTTGATTGATTTTGAATTATTTTTTTTAACTATACTGATATTATTAGTTGTTAGTAAGAATTTAACTTTAAACTAAAATAATATTTAAAATAAAATAGTGAAAGTTTATTTGATGTAAAAGTAGATAAAAATGATTGAAAGTGATGATTAGTTCAAATTATGCGAGTTGATGAATAGTAAATTAAAATCAATATGATGCGCAAGAATAATTGGTTGATTTTATTTAATTATACTAATAGTATTGAATATAGTTGTGTTGAGTTAAAATTACGTTAAATTTGAGTTTTGAATGATTTTTTTTTTCTCGTTAAGTTTTTATCCAATCACACCCTTACCACTTGTTGAGCCAAATTTTAAACATTTCCCTGTATATAAACCATGTAGCAATGTACTAAGCAATTATTTGTTGTATCAAAATCCTAATGCTACTTCTACATGAATATCCTTAAGGCTTTGCCACTTTTTCTGCAATTTATTAAATAAAATTAACTCATTAAAGGACTCCACGAGCAAAAAAAAAAAAGAAGTGAAATTTCACTCCATTACAATATTCACTTCTGAGTTATTCCACACAAGAAAAATAAGTCTAATTTATAAGTTTAATGAACTACTTCTCATTCTATCAGTTGGTTTTTGGATAGATCTTCACTTGAATTTCATATGAGCTTTTCGTTTCCTCCCTCGTTTCTTACACACATTTCCCTCGTGATATGCAAAAGTTTATTTTGACAAACTACCCACCATTAACATTGGAAAAGAAAACGAATTTAACTAGGATTACATTTTTTTTTTATATTTATTTTATACTCCCAAACTTCAAAAGATAACCAAGGAGTAAAGAGACAAATTCAACCACAACAAAATAAATAAACAACCATCAAATTTACAATTTCTATTTAAATTACCAAGCACAACACAAGCGAATCAAGTTGGTCTGATGTGGGGCCCACGTCCTCTCCACAACTTTTACTGCGGAGACAACTGTACAAAAGATATTGTCCAGCTGTAATATTCCACGTGTACGGATTTGATTGGATGTAGTCCCCCTCTTTTTATCTTTCCCCTCAACAGCGACCAGTCTTGTTGCGTGTCTCCTCAAGCCAGCTAAGCCGAGCCAACGTCTCCAAAAAAATTTTGATTTCTACTTTTGGCTACGTACAGTACGTAACGCTTTAAATGTGAGCCCATTCAAATTGGAATAAAACAGAAATTCAAAAAAAAAAAA